GGTCCGCCTCCATTATACAGAAAAACGATATGAGCATAGCAAAAAGAACGGAACATAAGCGTTAGTTTCGATAATACTAATCCTACACACAAGACAAAATGATCACTCTTTCCGTGGAAGATTCCTTTAAGGTATCGTTTTCTGTGGTAATGAGGGCGGAGCTTTTTCCGTGGAAGATTCCTTTAAGAGCACTTTATGACCTCGAAGTCTGACGAAAGGTTTCATATCAGATCCGAAAACACAGAGATCAGAGTTGTAAAAAGGCTGTCCTTCACAATTCACATGTAGCTCGTCCATTATACCAAATAGAGATCGGATACGCGGCAGAATCAAATGATCAGAAACGGGCTAGCCTCATTTAATCCGCCGCTGCTTAAAAAATTGAATTCAGGCCATCTCTGTTCAGTCTAGTCCCGAGCATGCACTGATGAAGAATCTCATCCCAAATGAGGTAATTTCTATTACTTCTTTATGTTTCCATTACTCTCCTTGTTTGAACATTACTAACTGTTAAGGTGAACTTCACCGAAGTGAACACCGACGCTCCTCTCCATGGCGAAGTTTTACTTGAAGGTAGTCTAGCATTTCATATTCTTGCAAATTTATACCTTGTAAAAGGGAGCACTTCAAATATCATAATGTATGGTAAGGCCTTAGAAAACTAACGATGTAATAAATTTCAGAAACCACACCACTAGCTCCCTTGTAATAGCCGGAAGCTCCTTTCTCCGGTCAATACTTTTACTTCTGTTTTGTTAACTATCCAAATTTTCGCTCTGCTTTCTGCCTTAGACTTAGGTTGGTGGGAGAAAATCTGTAGGTATGAAAACCTCTCACCCACTTCGCAGTCTGTTCCCCTCTAAGGCTTCATTCTAAACGTTTATAATAGAGCTAGGAGATTGTTGGTTTTAAAAGTATTGGCGCGCCGCGATGTCCCTTCCTTCCCCCTCCCCACTTATTCAGATATGTAGATCCCAGCGACCTAGTGCAAGTATCCTATAGCGCCGCTATAATAGAGCACCGATTTCCTCCTGCCCTTTCTGTTCTCGCTACTAAACTTGCCCTTTTGCAGTATTCGGTTAACGCTGAATCTAGGCGCTCATCTAGTTCGGTGGCACTGTAGGTACTGCAAGCAATCCAAATGCGAAACTCAATAATTTTCGTTCTCATTTTTTGTTTTATAAAATTTCGCCGAAAAGAATCAGTATTCAAAGCTTTTTTTTTGTAATTACTTACAATGTTTCTGTGCAACCACTGTCCCTTGCACTCAATCCTGTGTGCCCAGTGGGAAGATAGACGTGATCATCGCCCTGCTGAGGGAGGTGATTTCGGTGAAGCAAACGCAGCACAGAGACCAAGCAACTACGTTCGTTTTTTGGGAACGAATCATCAGGCGGCTTGAGACGATCTCCTTGTGCAGTTACCTGTCCTTGATCGCTATCAATATCACCATGTTCTTGTATCCGGAAGTGTGGTACTGACGCTGTTCGCGCCATATTCATTTCTTGCGCCACATATCCACACTCGAGAGAGTGAGCGTGAATCCGGTTCCACAGGTGGTGCAAGGGAGATACGTGCTCTCTGAGAAGCGTGGTGACGGGCAGAAGCCCTTCTCGGTGTGAACATTCAGGTCTATCCGATTGCTAAAGATAATAAGATAATAAACAATCTTGGTAGGAACGCGTTTCCGAACTGAACTTAAGTCTTATTCCTGATAGTGTTCGAGCTCATCCCGGAGAATTTGTCGCGCATGTGTCGCCGAATTCTTAGCCTCTTACTGTGATAACTGTGATCTCTCGCTGTAATATTGAGTGACGTTATTCGTTGTGTTCATGTAGAGCCAATAAATTTCTATTTTCTCCACTATGTCAAAATTTAACAGATTTGGCAGGGGAAGTGAAGATGCGATAACAGAAAAAGTGAACAGATTTGTGCGCTTTGCATCTGTAAAGTGTGACGGCTCGCTTACTGTCAAAAAACGTGCAGTTACCCTTACACTCGGACACTATTGATAGGTGCGCTACCCTTTCACCAAAACGCTTAATTCCATTCTTTCAGAGAAGAATTTTCCAGATACTGAACGATTTCTCACAAAGAAAAGTTCTTCTTCTTCTCCCTAGCGTTAGTCCCGCGCAGTCGCAGGGTCCGCTGTCTTTGTCAGTCGTCGCCACTTCGCTCTGTCCAGGGCATCTCCTGCTGTGGCCGTGATTTCACTTAGGTCCTTCTTGATCACGTCCTTCCACCTTTCTTTGGGGCTCCTCGCGGTCGCTTGCCTTGCACTTCGAAGTCCATCGCTGTTCTTATGTAGGACGATCCTATGGCTTCCTCAGCACATGTACATACCAACACTCCCGTACCTTCAGTTGGAGAGCAGCAGGCTGCATAACCGCACTGTTATCCTCTTTTCTGAGCCTGTCCAGTTGCGTCCAGCCGCAAGGGCCTGTCTCAAGCATTCCTCAAAAAATTTTCTCAGCTGGTGAAAGCTGCCCTTCAATGAGTTTTTGATCAGGGCGGCAGCCCTGCTACTGCCGTAGAGCCTTACCCTTAAAGCCACGAGTCAGGATTAGGCAACCAGCAGAAGTTCTTCCCAGGGTGCGATAGTGGGCTCCCCAAGCACTGGGCGCGACACTATCGCGACCCAAAAGTGCGCGGCAATGGCGCTAAGGCCTTGCCCGCCGCGCTGCCCGCGCTGCCAGCGTAATCCACCACGGCATACGTGGTCTCTGCGTCTCTCGCGTATGACGTACTATCTCGCGTTCTCCCTCTCCTCGCAGCGCTGTGTCTCTCCGTCGTACTACGGCCGGCCTCCTAAGGGAAATTTAGTGTTTTCTATGGTGCTTTTTGCTTTTTCTCCTCACTAATGTTCCTCATTGCACCCCTTGCCTAATGTTTGAACAAAATAACGCATCAACTTCACAATCCATCGTATATTCAACACTTTAAGTACTCTTGCCATCTCCTTCTGACTGTGATTGACTACCTCAGGATGGCGCCGTTGCTGCTCTTCACACTCTTCTCCACCCTGATGTCATATTGGGAGGAACTCACGATTAGAATGAAGGTCGAAGAAAGGGAATTCACCTAGTTGAGAGACCCACGGACCTCCTGAGGGTGCGACTGACGCGCAATTGGCAGCGAAAGATTTGACCTCGGCGACCTAGCATGGCTCACTCTTGGCGCGGTTGGCGGGGTACGCCCACCGACTATCTAATCACTCGCCGCAGGTCTATACGTGGCGAGTGATTAGATAGCAGAGAGAGCGTAGTGTTGAAGAGGGCACAGCGATGAGAGTCGCATCAATGCGCAAATCAACGGGCAAGGAAGGGGTCCCATTTCTCGGGTTCTGGGCCGTTTCTCATGGTTCTTCCTTTTCGTGTACCACTCACCATCCCTAGGTTAATTTGAAATGGGTTGCTTTTCCATCGTGAATTCGTCCTTTAAGTAGCCCCATGCCATGCTTTGGCCAGCCTGAAGACGAACTTCTCTGCGTTTGCTTTCCAACTTTCGTACAAGGCGTCCATCTCCGTGTTCTTCGCCTTGGCGACGGCAGCCTTAGCGAGCCTCTTGCAACTCTTGTAGGCAGCGAGGTCCTCGGGCTCCGGGTCTTCTGCCAGCGCTTGTATGCTTCCTTCTTCTGCTTCACGACTCGCTGGACCTCCTCGTTCCAGAACCACGCTGCCTTGTCTCCTCTGAATCCACCTCGCGTCTCGCCCAGTACCTCCTTGGCGCATCGTAGGATGATCTCAGCTGCATTGCCCCAAGTCCGCTGCACTGGTCCCTCAGGATCTGGGAGACCAACTTCCATTTCGCTTGAGGTCGCTCTTCTCTGCTTGGTGCAACTTCCACCACCGGATTCTCCTCTCGGTTCTTACCCTTGTCTTCTTGGGGAGGTCTATGGCAATGTCTGCCAGGAGGGGCCTGTGCTGGGAGCCAGTTCTTCGCCAGGGAGTACCTTGATGTCCTTCACAGTTCTGAGGGATGATCTTTTTACCAGCACATGGTCGATTTCCGTTTGTCGTCCTCCACTGCTGTAGGTCACCTTCTGTGAGTCTCCCTTTTCGCGAAGAACGTGCTGCAGACTGCCAGATCGTGGGCCGTAGCCAGGTCCAGGACCCTCTCTCCCTAGGCGTTCTTATTTCTATTCCTCGTACACCCTTTCCAGGCCTCTTCTGTTACTGCCGACGTGACCATTCAGATCACCTGCTATGGTCATTAAGTCGCCTTCTGGAAACGATCTGATGGCATCGTCAAGGCTGAGATAGAACTCGTCCTTATCACTTTCGGGGCATCCGGCTTGCGGTACACGAGAGTATAGTCCAGTAATCATTTTCCCATCAAAGGTGGGTATCGGTATCGTAGGCAGCTCCGGCTTCCCGTTCAGGTGCCCTCCACCTGAAACTCCCACTTCGGAAGTTATCGATTGAAGCCCTGCCTTCTTTGGCTTCCATGCGTATTAGCAATTCTTCTGCCTCCTCTAAGGCGTCCAGAGTTTCGTCAATATAACCTTGGTTCGCCTTCTGTTGGTCTTCTGTGGTGGGTCCCGCGAGCTGGTCTAGAGTTTGGACAAAACCATTGAGGGTGGTCGCCAAGAGGTTAGCGCTCTCCCTGATCGCTGTGATTGCCTCTACCAAGGGTTTAAGCGCATTCTCGCTCGCTAGCGCTGGACCATTCTCGCTTATCACCCTATGTAGCGTGTTCTTGTACCTCGTCAGTAAACTCTTTTGGTATCGCAAAGTATTAGGGCCACTCATATCGCAATGCAGAATCGCGTAGTGTGCGCATCCACAAAAATTCGCAAAAAAAAAAGTGTAGGAGGAAAATCAATAAAAACTAAATCCAATTTTCAAAATATAAGAAAAGTACAAATTAGTACCTGCAAGTTCTTCGGTCCTAATGTCGATCCCCGATGCACCATAAAATGGGGCCACGCGGTTCTATATATAATGAAAGTATATAAGTCTATATAAATATATAGTCGTTCGTCGTGTGTTCGCTTGATAGTCAATCGCATAAAGATTTATTAGAACGAAGCAAACAAGAACAGTGTTAGGAACGAATAAGAGGACGAGGAGGTGGAGAAGAGAGCCCCTTGTTCTCCTTCCGGGGCCTTTTATACCCCCTGGGGTCCAAAGTTCAAAGAAGGTTCCCGACCACCCTGGATATCGAGATTCGGCGGGAAACCTCCCATTGCGATCGAAGACATTGATTCTTCGGTGGTCAAGTAGGTGGGCTCGCTCGATAATGCTCGCATCGTACGCTCGCTTTTAGAACCACTTCTCGCGCTCCGCGATACTCCGGCCTCCGGGAGGGATGGGTATAACGGTGGACGGAGCAGGATCGTGGGGTGGGGAATGAAGGGTGTTCGAGTGTTGGGTTGAGGGTCAGGGAAGATGGATTGAAGGTGGGCAGAGGTGGGCAGAGGTGGGAAAGGAGGGGAGGGGGGGGAAGGCTGCAGAAGTTGTCCTGCTTCAGAAGTCGTCCCTGATGCCGAGCCTTCTGCATATGGCTGAGACTTTCTTCTTCGCCTTCGACAGTTCTCGCACTGTCGCTCTGATTTCGTCCTCGATCTCCTCTGCCTTGTCTGGCCATTCGCATATGGCTGAGTGGTGTCCCATGCGGTCGCAATGGAAACAGCGGTTCCAGTACTTCGTGCACAAGTGTCATCCGCCATGCATCCCATTTCGAGACAAGTCTCACATAAATGCTGCCTCTTGAGGAGGATTTTCCTTCGAGCGCTATCTCGTACTTTAGGACATGAATCACTGTAATGCTTGCCTCGAAGTCCACAAAATGGGCATCGCATTTTGGCTTCGTTACTCTTGTTTACGCCGGTGACATATTCTCTCAATGGGCACGGTTTTTCTTGCTCCAACGAGTGAATACGTATCTCGAGCATGTGAATCTTCGCCAGCAAAGTTCGTCTTGTGTAGTCCAACGATTCAGCTTCATCTGGGGAGAGTTCCGGCTCTTCTATCTCCATATATTCATCGTCTGCCATCCGCTGTTTTTCGGCATAATCTCTCGTTTGTGCCTGCCACTGATTTAGTTGAGTCGACATTTCCTCGAGCGTATGCTGCATCGAGGATATCGTCTTAGCCGTCGTCTCTTGACTCGTATCGCGCATCGCTCTCTCTTCATTCAGTGCAGTTGCTCGCATGTTCCGAATCGTCATATACAGTTCACTGATGGCTTTTAACTGATCGGCAATGATAGCCTCCATAGTGTCTGGTTCGATCGTCAGCTTGTGTTCGCGTCCTTCAGCGTCATAGTAGACTTGTGGTTGAGCTTGCATCGATTCCCAAGCTGTCTGCGAGATCTTTCCTGTGGCGATGAGGATTGGAGGTGAGGCCTGAAGGGTCCTTAGGGTTTGACGGAGGAGGAGGAACCGGAGTTCGCAGTTTTCGGCTTTTTGCTCGATGAGGTGCGCGTCTCGCTCCAATTCCCCCCAGGGTTCGTTGGTCTGGGAAAAAAAGGGAATTTCATCGTGTAGCTGATCCAGAACGGCGCACTGGTACATCACGTTTTGGCAGGTGTCCACAATCTTCTCTAGAAGAGCCTCCGGCTCCGGAAGCTTCGGAAGCGCTCGCAGAAGATTCTTGTAGTCGTATTTTCGCTTTCTGTACTCATCGAATCGATTGAAGGAGCTCATGGCTGAAACATTTTTGTCAGCTACAATGTGACAATTTCGCAATGAATTTTTTTTTCTGTCGCATCGTGCCTTAAAGTCATTATGGCTCGCTCCATGGTCTTGATTACCGTATATTCGCAATCTTTCGCACTCGCAATATAGAATCAAAACCAGGCGCACATAAAACAGTCGCAATTCAAAGAACATCTGCGTATAGTGCACGTTAGAATCACTTCACCTAAGAGTTCTAGTCTTCGATGCGCTCTGTCTAAGTTGATATCACTGATCAAATGACTGGAAAACGTAATAACACTTGCATATAAGGTTTCTTTTTCGCACTTTCTCAAATTGCACAGCGCGGCTTTTTTCAGTCGAGTCGCTGCTAATCAAAGTAGGCACTTCATAAAAACTTTCTTTTCGCAGAATCGAAGTCTCGCTAATAATTTTGCTTAATGTTCAGCTGTTTCGATACAATCTTGATAACTTACCGGAAGGCGCTTTCGCAAATTGTAACGATTCTGAACTAGTGGCGCTTGATAATCTGACTGTAGCGGGGGATCGCTTTCTTGATCAACGAAGTCGCAATCGAGTTCTAAAGGAATGATCAAATTAACAGGCCTTTTAATTGTTCGCCCTGTAGCTGTGAGTAGGCACACTTCGCGAACCGCATTGTCGTCGCCTCTGTGGATCGCTGTTATGCGTGCTAACTTCCATTCGTTGCGCGACTGGATTGGGTCAACCAAAAGCACGATTGCTCCGACGTGGGGGGCTGATTTTGAGCTGCGGCTGGAGTTCATCCATTTACGATGCTGTTCGCGAAGGCTAAGCAGATATTGAGCGTGCCACTCCTTCCATATTTGCTGAGTTGCAGAATAAGAAGTTTGCAGAGCGGATTCTGCTTGTTTACGCGTTTGAATCGCTGCTACTCGCTCAGGAGGAACGTAGTCGCTATCGCTGTGTTGTAGTCGCAGCTGATCGAATGGGAAACTGATTGTTAACCCCTTCTGCACAAAATCAATGGGGCGAATCACTGAGAACTGTTCAAGGTCCGATTCCTGATAAGTTAAAGGACGCGTGTTTAAGCTCGCTTCAATTTCTGTAATCACAGTAACTAAGTCGTCCATAGTTAATTTTGTTCTTCCTATTGCCTTATAAAACGCGTGCTTGATTGACTGAATTAGGCGCTCATAAAAGCCGCCCTGCCACGGCGCTTTGGGAGTGATATGGTTCCATTTGATCGCATGGTTCGCTATGAGGTCCGATGTCGCTGCATTCGCTACTATATCGCTAAAATTTCTGAAGTCCAGCAAAAATGTCGGTGCGTTGTCGCACGTTATCGAAGCCGGTACGCCGCGACGCGCAAAAAATCGTCGCAATGCTTTGATGAACGCTTCGGTTCCCATATTTCGCGTTACCTCAATATGGATCATGCGGGTTACTGCACAGGTGAATATGCACCCGTAAGCTTTGAGAAGGGAACTTTCCTCTCGTACCTCAGGCAGGTCGAAAAAATCTAACCCGATATGCTCGAACGGGCGACTTTTTTGCACTCCTATGTGCGGGCAGGTCTGGCATAGCTGGGTACTGATACGGTGCCCCGTTAAACCTTCTACACCGAACACATTGATTGATGAAAGTACGAGCTTGTTGGCGCAAGCGTGGAATCCAAAACGATTCCCTCACGTTGACATCGTATGCGCAATCCCACTGTGGTATTTTCCGTGAGCATTTTGTATTATTAGGCGCGCTAGATCTGACTTAGGAGCAATAAGTATGGGGAACTTGGATTCTTCGCTGAGGTCTGAGCAGCCCAGTCTCCCTCTCGCTCTCCAGATATTATCGCTACCTTTGAACAATTTGAGTGTGTTGTCCATGGTTTTAAGATAGGAAGGTGAAAAGCTTCTCTGGTGTACTCGCACTAGTGCTTTTTTCGCCTGTTCCATATCCGTGCCATTAATGATTTCACTTCCGAGACCGTCCGTGAGCTTAAGCTCTGGAAACTCTTCCGTGAAATTTTGCACTCGTTCTCTCGAGAGCCTTTTGATGAGTCGCCTGAGGAACTTCAATACCCATGCCATCACTCGTTCCGCCTTTACTAGCGAGCCGTAGCGTGACAGTGGTAACCATTCCACTACTTCCGAACTCATCGCATTTACGCGCAACGGGATATCTGAAGACAGCGCAAAAAGTGATTCCTTCCAACTTGAAAATGGCGTGATTAAGAACTCTGGGCCGTTCCACCAGTTGCTGTCTAGGAGCTCACCCTTAGACAGGCCTCTGGTGCCCGCGTCTGCAGGGTTTGTACTCGTTGAGATATACCCAAAAAAGTACCTTTGGCCCTATATCTTCTATGGCCTGTACTATCGAGTGAATTTCCTTCACTCTGTTGCTGACAAACACTCCCAACTCGCTTGAATTGGGAGACTTCTTGATCCAACTCAGTACGATCTGGGAGTCTGACAGGAAAACTATGTGAGCGACGTTTTTTCTGTTTTTGCTCATAGATTTCAAGACAGATAGGGCTAGGCGCGCGCTCATAGTCAATGCATTGAGTTCTAATTTTGGGATTGTGGTTTTCGCTTTTATAGATGGAAGTTTGGACTTTGCCATCAGTAGGTTTGAAGAACTTTCTGAAATGAGGTACGCGCATGTTGCCATTGCTTTTTCGCTCGCATCCGAAAAAAGTGCTAGCTGACAGCATTCAAGGATGGGTAGATATCGAGGAAATTGCCGATTGTATCCTTCGATCTCTGAAACAATTTTTTCCCATTCTGATTTTCGCTGCGTGGAAAGCTCTTGGTCCCACTCATAACCTTGCATCCACAGCCCTTGTTGGAAAAGTTTTGCTTTTATTTAAAAGCGGCACCAGCCAACCTAATGGGTCGTAGATGGACGCTATCTGTTTGGTTACGGTGCGCTTGGTAACCTTCTGAATTGTAGGCAAA